TGATTCTGCGAGGGCGCCGCGCGCGCGCGGAGGCGCGTCGATCGGGGCAGCCCGCGGTTGCCGGAGTTTCTTTCTACGTGTCTACGCTGGCGCGCGCCGTTTCTCCGCCGGCCCGCCCGCGGGCGGTTTCTCGACGACGACTTCGGCCCACGAGGGGGTGCGGCGCGCCCTGGCGCAGAGGTGAGGGCTGACCGCCTGCTCGCGCGCGCGCTGTCCTGCGCGTCTATTGCAATGGCGCGCGACGGGCTGGAAGCGGCATTGCCCCAGACGGCTTCAGCCCCGGCGGATGGCGTCGCCCATGGGCGGTGGGCTTCCGGTTCGACGAGAACGAGGCAGCGGCGACGGCGACGGCCGCGACGACGAGGACTCTGGTGACGAGCAGAATCATCCATCGAGGGCTTCGAGGGCTCTTCGATTTCAGGGGCCGCTTGGAGCCCTCTTGGCGCCAGCTCTGAAGACGCTGAGCCCCCTCTGGCTTTTTCTCGGGCCCCCCCCCGGGGCCCCAGGGGCTGTCGCTGGCCCATTTAGGGAGGAATTGCTTCCGGGAAGGGCGGCCGCGTTGGATTTTTTGGGCCCCTGGGAATGGCGTGCCGGGGCCCTCTCGTCGCGCTCTCGGGGGGCCCTTGCGCGCTCTTGGGGCCGCGTCATTTCCTTCTCGGGGTCCATTGGGGCTCTTTTGGGCCATCTCGAACCCGCCCGTCATCCGCGCGCTGCTCTGCCGGGGGCGGGGGGAATTCACGAACGCACCCCGGCCCCGTTGGATCGCGGCAGGAGCTCCGGGGCGGCCACGACAGCGCGGACTTCGGCCCCTCGCGCGACCGTGGGTGGCGCTTGCGTTTGGCTTCTCCTGGGGCCGCCTTGATACGTGGCGCCGTGAATATGAGCGCCAGCATGCGGTCGCGGGGGTCACTTGGTGCTCTCTCCGGCCACCTTGGAACCATCGCGGGCCATTTTGCGCGCCCCGCCGCCTCGCGCCCTTTTCCCGCCCAGACCGGGGGGGGGGGGGGGCGGCGGGGGCGGGCGGGCTCAAGTGGGGGGGGGGGGGGGGGGGGGGGCGCAGGACCGCGTCTGCGCAGAGGGCCCGCAGGATTGGCTTTGCGTTCGTGGGAGGTGACCGCAGCCGCGCGGGTCGGTCTGCCAATGGCTTCTGCGCCGTTCAGAACCGCGGCTGGGGCGAGCCTGCCCGCGAGCCGCTGCGTCGACGACCCGCCGTCGCGCCGTCGGGGGCAAGCCCGAAACGTTCAGTTCAGAGCTGCTCCTCGGCGTCGGCCCTGACCCTTGTAACTCAGGTCTGGCTGATGGCCCGCGTCGCCTCGCTGCGGCGGGCGCAGGAATAGCGAACTTACATGCGCGACGGCCCAATGCGATCACGCGCAATTTTCAGGCAGGAGCTAATCCAAAAGCCCTAATAAAAATTGCATTTCAAACTTTACGCGCAGCCCCCCTGGGAATTCTGCAACTCCTCTAAGAGGAGTTGCTGCGCTCCTGGGGTTCTGCCCCCCCCCAACCCTTGGCATTTGAAAATGGTATGTTTTTTTTGGGGGGGATCGGACCATTGTCTCTCTGTTTCTGTCTCTCTGTCTCGGTCTGTCTGTCTCATTCTGAATAGTTTTTAAGTTGTGTTACAATGTGTTTTGATTTGATGTTCGTTTGCGCATTTCCGTGTGTCTCGTATGCGCACTTTCGTTTGCTTCTCAGCGTCCAGAAATATTGTAAACATGTGGTAGCTTCGTGACGATATCTTCGCGATGACGCATTTCACCCCGTTTGGCTCCACATGTTTGTTGGTTTCCTTTCTCTCTCCCTCTCTCTCTGTTGCTCTCTCTCCCTATCTTTCTCTCTCTCTCTCTCTCTTTCTCTTTCTCTTTCTCTCTCTCTCTCTCTCTCTCTCTCTTCTTTTCTCTATACTTATGTTTTCTCATCTCTCTATATTCTCTCTATATGTCACTCACTCTCTCTTTATGCTATTTTTCTCTCTCTCTCTCTCTCTCTCTCTCTCTCTCTATTTGTTTCCCTCTCTCCTCTCTCTCTCTCTCTCTCTCTCTCCCTCTCCCTCTCTCTCGCTATCCTCTCTCCCCCTCTCTCTCTCTCTCTCTCTCTCTCTCTCTCTCTCTCTCTCTCTCTCCCTTACTCTCTTCTTATTTCGATTCTAGCCTTCTCGTTCCGTCTTCCCATCTCTTCCCGTCTTACGTTTTCTTTCTCTTCCGCTTGCCTATAGTTTCTCTTCGCCGGGCAAGCTCAAGCCATGGGCTCCGCGGCGGACGCCCGCGCGAGGCTCGCCGAGGCCCACGCGGACCGCAGTCGGCGCCCGCGGTCCCTGTCCGCTAGGCGCCCGCGGCCACTCGGCCCAGACCCCCCCTCCGCGGCCGAGGGCAGCGAGATGGCGGCGGGAAGCCCCGCGCCCATGCCGCACGCAGGCCGTAGTGGCGGCCAGGAGGCCGCAGCGGCGGCCGAGGAGGACTCGGACGATTGGGCGCAAGAGGGCCGCAGCGGCGGCCACGAGGAGGGGCAGCGGCGGGGTGGCCCGTGGAGCGGCTGGGATAGCTGGAAGGGCTGGGACAACGGGCGGTGGGAGACGCGAGACTGGTGGATTGCGCGGCAGGAGGCCGGGCGCAAGGAGGAGCTTGCACGTGGGGCAGTGAACCAGTGCCCGCTCGAACAACTGAAGGGCGACCGCGGATTTCGACGCCGCCAGGCCAGCCCAGTCCAGGCCGCAGTGGCGGCCCGCCCGTCGCCCGCGGACGGCCCCTCAAGCCGTTGGACATCGACCCTCGAACCAGCAGCGGCAGCGCCGCCGCCGACGGCAGGACCGCAGCCACCAGCCCCCCCAGTTGCCACCCCTAAGCGCGACGCAGCCCCGCCGCCCCGCCCAATGCAGTTGCGTCTCTGGGAACCCCCACCGCCCGCAGAGATGCTCAGGGAGCGCTCGCGAGACAGAGCCCCTGTCGCCGAGGTCGGGCAAGAGAGTGCCGCCGCAGTGGCGGCGCCCGCAAGGGCGGTCGACCTATGCGTTTTCGAAAGTCGCCCGATCACGGCCTCGCACCGCCAGCGCGACGCCGCGCTGAAGTGGCTGCGCCGCGTGGCCGAAACCACGGGAGGAGATGTCGTCTGTGAGGCAACCGTGCAGATCAGCAAAATCTGGCGACCGCGTAAGAAGAAAAGGACCACACAACATGCACTGCGACTTCTGGGACGGCGAGGAAGTCTCGTGGAGCTGGCTGGAGATGATCGTTCAGATGAGTCCAGAAACTAGGGCGCAGGTGGTCAACGGGCCTGATGGCTGCAGTGGCGGCCTCGTTCGGTGCGTGGTGTCCGCCCGCCCCAGAAGCTACGACCGCCAACGCTGCTTCGCCTCCTGGCATCACAGGGGCGACGAACGCGGCGAACACCAGGACAACTACGACTTCGTGGTCTACCGCAAGGACTTGCCGGTTGTCCGCTTCCACCCCAACTGGAAAACCAAGGAATTCGACCTGTGCGGGGCGGGCCCGCGCGCGTCTACCGTGCCTCCACCCAGGGATGGCTGCGGCGGCAGTCATGGCGCTGGCACGTACAAGTACTACAAGCACCTCGACAGGGCGGGGATTGGCAGGTTCGACAGAGAGCGCGGCAACGGGATGCCTCCAGGCGACTTGGGCTACCAGTCGGGCCGCAACCAGTGATAAGGTGGCAGCGTAGGCCGCAGTGGCGGCCGCCAGCTGTAGGAATCGCCGACCAGCTTCCGCCACTGCCTTTTTTGTTTCGGAAGCTTTGCGACGAATTAAGTCGTGTCAGCGAATTACTTCGCGCCAACATCGCCGTCAACATCTCCGCCACCATCAGATAACAACGGCTACGATGACGTTGGTGATGATGATGATGACGATGAGACGATGACGATGATGAGGACGATGACGTTCATAAATGACGATGATGATAATTAACGATGACGATGGTGTTAATGATGATGACGATGGTGATCACGATGACGTTGGTGATGGCGGTGGCGATATCGACTCCGGTGACATCGGTGATGACAATGATGGTAATTCACGATGACGTCTGCCACATTGCCTGTCCTGTCCCCACCTCGACCGCGCGCGCGGCTCCAACAGCTGGCCGCTGGCCGCGCGGCCCCCCTTGGCTCAAGGGGCGGGCCCAACGGAATCAACGATGGTGCACTGGGACGCCTCGGGCAACAAGGCTGCAGTGGCGGCCAAGGCTGCAGTGGCGGCCTCCAGCAAAGCCCCAGGCGCGACAGCTTTCGGAAACGCAGTTCTGCGTTCACCCCCATAGGCCGCTCCCGACGAAAGCTCGACTACGAGTGACTCGTCTGGCTCGCCCAGCGAAGCTGTGCCAGATTCACTTGGGATCTCGAGGGCGGGGGGCGCACCTCCTACCACGTGGTCGAAGGCGGGAGGCGCGCCTGCGACGGCGACCCTGGCGATCGGGTTTGCCAAGAAGGCGGCAGGAGCGAAGCAAGCGGCAACAGTGCCGATGCAGGCTTTTCCAAAGCCGCCACCCAAAGCAGAACCCAAGGGGGCTGTGGATTTGAGCGGCTCAGACGACGCATCGGCTCCTCGTTCAAAAGCAAGACCCCCTTCGGCCCCGCGCGCCTCCTCCCGCGCAGTTCCCTCCGTTACCCCCGCGCCGCCTCCCGAGGCCGCAGTGGCGGCCTCCAGGGAACCAAGGGTGCAGCTTGTGCCGAGGGCGAAACGCGCGCCTTCCCAGCAAACGCAGGTTCCGAAGGTGCACTTGCTGCCGCGGCAGCCTGACCGCCCGCCGCGGCATCTCCAGGGCGAGCCGCCAAAGAAGAGGGCGCTCTTGGAACCGCAGGCAAAAAAAAGGGCCGCGGCAGCCCGACGAACCCCCGAACTACGAAGCCCTACTGCACGCGACGCCGAAGCCCAGCAGCTGCGCACCACCCGCGCCGAAACGGGCGGCAAACAGCGCCCTCGCGTCGACGCGAGCGCACCCCCCGTGGACGGCGGAGGTGGACGCGCGTTTGACGGACCAGAGAGGTAGAGCTTGGATCCAAGTCGACGACGGCAGGGGCAATTTCGGCGACTTCGTGGAGCGCGGCGCTCCGCTGCCGCGCGCGCGCCCTGACTGGCGAGCACCGGATCGGAGCCCGCATCGGCGAGCCCCTGCGGATCCAGCGTTTACCCTGCTCACGGCCGTAGTGACGGCCAGGGCCGCAGTGGAAGATGTCGAAAATCTGCTCGGGCGCCCAGCCAACATCCACGCGCTGATCTGGGGCCCGCTGCCCCTGGACCACCCGCAGAAGAGCGACGCGGAAGCGGTGGAAGTGTTGCGCAGGCACGCAGCACTGAACGTACAATTTGAGCTTGCAGTGGCGGAGGTGGCATCGATTAAAACAAGACGAGCAGGCGACAACTACTGGGATCTGGTAGACCTCAAAGAGGGGACAGGCGCCGTGCTCTACCAACCCCGCGTCGTCGAGACGTTGGAGGTTGCGCTGCAGAACGACACGTGCGCCACAGACGACACGCGACGTCACGGCAATCATCGACGTCGCGCTGCGCGAATCCAGCCAAAAACCTGGCGCACAGTTGCCCGCTGGAGGTTCGCCCGTGGCCGTAGTGGCGGCCGCCGCCGCGGCCTTCATTCCACGTGGTCCGACACGGTCTGCGCCGACATTATCGAGGACCTTCTGCGCTGCAGCGCGCGCATTTTCACGGGGTTCTTCGACTGCGGCCACCGCGCATTGCATCGCATAGGCTGCAGTTGCGGCCTCGCCGCGGGGGACAAGCCCTTCCACGCCGTCTTCCGCGCAAATGGGGGGCCTGGCGTGTTTGACTATACCATCCACAACAATTTTGCACTCGTGCTCGGCACGCGCGACCCGCGGCACCCCGTCTACGGAGAGGAAGAAGGGCAGGTGGCGGTGGCGGTGCCAGAGTGGCTCCAGCCTGCCGCCTCGGGGGCCCCGATCGAGTTCGGAAGCACTTGGCTCGAGCGTTTCAGTTGCAGCTCCCTGCCGCAGTGGGGCGACGCGCCGATGGTGAGTACGCAGTGGCGTACTGTTTACACCGAGGCGCTCGAAAAGCTCGAAGAGGGTGCGCATCCAGAGGGTCCAATCGAGGCACGCCGCATCGCAAGGTTGACGGAGACAAGGCATAACTTCTTCCAGAACGCGCGCGACGACTTGCGCCCGCTTCCGAACCTGGGGAAGGTGGCCTCCAAGCGGCTCAGGGACGACACCTTCGTCTCGCACTGGCTCCACGGCATTCACCAGAACATGGTCTTCATAGGTCACGGCCGCCAGGGACGTGGATCGAGGCAGGCTGCGAGCGAGCAGCGGCGCAACTGGAGGAGGGCACATCAGAAGAAGAAGAGCCGCAGTGGCGGCTGGCGCCAAGGGGCGGGCTCGCGCCAGAGCGCTTAGAGTGGCGCGACGCGGCTGGGGGGGAAAACCAACATCTCTTGTCGTCGCCGTTGTCACTGTCACCACTGCCCGACATGTATCTGGTCGACTAATTAATGGTGGTATGTGATCACATGCTTCGGTAATTACACCGTAGACGATGATTATTATGTACACGTTTTAATGACCATTACATAATTATGTGTAATCGCACATATATATACATATATATATATATACACGGGGTCACATACAAATGAGCAGACCTGTCATACTTATTGCCATCGTGTGCGCACATACTTACCAATATCATGAATACGTCGTTGCATGCGTGAAATTATGTGCACGCAGCCGTTGCCAGTTCAGCGGCGCCACCGCGCCACCGCGCGCCCGCGCTCAGCGGCAAGGCGGGCGCTAGGGGCGCCCGCAGTGGCGGGCCGCAGCCGAAGCTGCCTGCTGGCAAAGACATATGGGCAGCGTGCCCGACGACAGCATGTGCATCTACTGCGACCGCGAGCATGCTGTCCCATTCCACATTCCTGACGCGACGCTGGAATGTGGAATGGGCCCCATTTGCGATACATGCTGCCGCGAGGCCTCGATCTACGGCAGAGATTACATCGACCGCAAGCGCATGGCTCGTTTCCTGGCGGCCGCGCGCGTCGCGGGTCGCACTGGAGATTTCTACAGCATCTTCCTTGTGGACGGGGCCGGGTTGGGCGAGCTGCTCGCGAGGTGGCCGGTCGCCGCCGCAGCTTCAACGAGATGGTTGGTCTGGAATGTCCGCAGTGGCGGGCGCCAAGTTCCGCTTTGTCCCGTCACCGAGGGCGAGGCCGCAGCGGCGGCTCCAGAGTTCGACGATGCACGGGACTGGGGGGAGTCCTACGTGGCAAGCGTAATCGAGGCCGCGGAATCGGAGCGGGAAGCCGCATCGCTGGGGCACGGGTTCGTCGATGATGGGCGCTGGGCGCAGTGGTGGGGGAGCGCGCGCGACCGTCAGGCTTTCCATGCCAACCGAGATGGGCGAACGCCTTACTGGTCGCACGACGGCTTGCCGCCTGAGTCGTGCGCGCGCGCCTTGCGCGAGATGCGCTCGCCTATCGGTCGCGCGGAGATGCTCCGCGCGACAGGTGCACTGATGTATGCAAGGCCGCGCACGCTCGATGCCGAGCAACGACTGCAAGACGCTCAGGCTGCGTGGCACAATGCGGTGGGCATCGAGTTCATGCACATTGCCTGCGTGAGGACGCCAGCGGCGCAGGGTCGCATGGCCGTAGCGGCGCGCCTGGCCGTAGGGGACGGCGCCATGATTGCCGCAGGGGTTGCGGAATGGGAGACGAATGAGTTTGATGCGTATGAGGCCGCAAGGAGCGTCTTAGCCACCATGGCGACGATCCTCGGAATCCAGCCTCCCGCTACTACGAAAGACAGCTGAGCTTATGGTCGAGGTACCACCAGGCGCTCCAAGACGGCGGGGACGTGGACGTCGACTCGCAGGCCATTCCAAGACCACGCCACGACGACGTGGACTTCGCCGTCAGCGACTGGTCGTCGGAGGAGCTAGAGGAGGTGTATTCCAGGAGATGCCTGCGCGCCTATAACCAGGACGCCTATACGATAGAACCACCGCCAGGGATATTTTGAGGACGCCGACCAGGGAGCAACAGGCCGCAGCGGCGGCCGTACTGGCACCGACGCGGCTGTAGGAGACCGACGGCGCGAGCGATCGTCGGAGCAAGAAGGGATTGCCATCGCCATCGCCATCGCCATCCGTCACCGTCGTCCTCACCAAAATCCCCACCAACTCATGGCCACCTTCACCAATCTATCATCATCACTACATCCAGCACCATCAACATTACCATCACCATCACCTCCGTTACCACCATCATCACCAGCATCATTAATTATCATTCTCCTCATCACCACCACCAGCAACAACAATCAACAGTATAACCGTCATAAGTATATTATTGCCACGACTTATCATCATAATCAAGCATCATCACCATCAACATAATTACTCAAACATCATCAACACGATCACCATCACCACCGCCTGCATCAACACCGCCATCACCATCACCACCGTCATCAACACCACCGCTACCGCCACCATCACCATCAGCATCCCAAGCCTGCTCTTGAGGCCCCAACATATTGCTGCGGGGCCGCTGACGGCCCCGCGGCGGCCATGCAGCCGACGCCGCCCTGCCGCCCGATGGGCAAGGATATTTTACAGTATGAGCACGCGCGCGCGGGGGCGGGCGCGGGCCTTTTTCCTCTCCGACCCACGAATAGCTGCAGAGAGCCAAGCATGTGTCTGTGTATGTGGGTTTATGTACATATTCCTCCTCCTCCTCTTCTTAGTAGTAGTATGATCAGTACTGTTGGTATTAGCTATAGCAGCCCCATTGCCAGTACCATTATTATTTTTATCAGGATTATTCGTATTCGTGGTATCAGTACCATTCGTTTTCGCATTTTCGTATTATGTTCAGAGTACTAGTATGAGCGTTTGTATTCGCATTCTCATTCTCATCATAGCATTAATATGAGCATTCGAATTAGTCGTATTCGTCGCACGTGTTTTTCGAATTATGTCTGTTGCTCGTGTAATGTTGGTTCACAGCTTTCTTATGACAAGTCAGTATTATGTTTCTTCTGGAAGGTGTTCACTATATATTATGAGATTCGACACTACGATTAATTACCATTGTGAATGTTCGAATTGTTCCTCAATTCTCAATGCTTTGAATCTACGGTACTACGTATTATCAATACGTGTCTCGGTGTTCCTCCTCCTTCTTTCCTCGTCCTCCTCCTCCTCCTCCCCCCCCCTCTTCCTCCTCCTCATCCTCATCCTTATCCTCCTCCCCCTCCCTCCCTCCCCCCCCTCCTCCTCATCCCCCCCCTCCCTCAGCCTGCGCCGCAGCCGCCTGGGCTCGCAAGCGCAGCGTTTTACTGCGCGCCCGGAGGGCCCGAGCGCGCCGGCCGCGCCTGGCGCGGGGCTGGCGCGCCAGCCATGAGTGATGAAACAAAGGGCGGCGGGGCAACTGAGGTCGCGGCCGCAGTGGCGGCCGAAATGAAAGAGATGCATCCGAGCAACGAGCTCAGGGCCCGTTGCAACACTGGCGCGAAGCAAAGGGTTCCGGTGCGATTGCTGGGGCCACACCCCGCTAACAGGGTTGGTGTGTTCCCAAATTGTTCCAGAGTGCGTTCGCTGGCGCGCGAGATCATCTGCGTCGGGTTCCACCAGGCGGAAGCCGATTTCGAGGGGGTGTGCGTCAGGGACTTTCCCGTGTAGAAGCAAAACGGCATGGCGGGGTGCACCTCGTTCACGCAGAACTGCAAGGACAAGGCCAAAGGGTGCCTTAAGGATATATTCTGCAGCAGTGGCGCCGAAGTTCTCTACGGCACGCTTTCGCACTCGCATTTGGCAATCATTCTGCGGGCCATCGACGCGGGGGCAAAGTGGGGGACCCCTACAGACGACCTGACCCCTGCGCAGGCGGCAATGCTGCAGCCCACGTGCGAGGTCGGCGCAGGCTTGCTGATGATGTCCGCAGCGGCGGACAATGACACTGAGGTGCTGGGCCCTGATGTCATGCTTGGCGAACAGAACTGCTCCATCGTAGCCCAGGCCATTAATCGGCCACAGGCGTTCCCCACGCGGATGTCGGAGGTGGAGGCGATGGAAGCACTCTCCTCAGAGATCAAGAACGCAAAGGCGGACGGCAGCGACGCAATCACCTACGAGAGCGCGATGCAGGCGGCAGGTGCCCGACTGGGGAGCTTCCCCTCCGACCCCTCCTTCTGCGACTTCTTCAACTTCATCCTGAACCTGGGCGCCGATGGAGGCCCTCGCGTGCGGGAACTCATCGACTTCGTCGAGACGTGCGTCAATTCTGCCACGAGAATGTCGCGCCTGCCTGCGTTCGGCCTCGTGGGGGAGGCGGGCGCGCAGTTCCCCCGCGCGAAGGTGGCCATCGTCGCGCGGGCCAACAGGTTGCCGCCCAGGAAGGCTTCCAAACAGACGGGGGCGCCAGGCTGGTGCATCGAACCCGAACCTGCGTGGAAGCAGCGAACCCTGGAGCCGCGGCCCATGGTGGATGTCCCCCACGCGCACCACGTGGCCCTGAGAACCGAAATCGCGAAACACTTGGACAACAACGCCTCGGCGGTGGTTCAGTTTCTGACCAACATCAACATCCAGTGCGCCAGCGCTATGGCTGTCGCGGTCAAGGGGGCCAACCCCCCGACGGCGATAGCCCGCGAGGCGCTCTTGCAGGGGTGCAAGGCGGCGCACGCGAACGCCCTACCGACAGAAAAAGCTGCCGAGCTCATGGCGACCCCCCAGGCGCAGGAGGACTGGAATTGGTTCGACTTTGCAACGTCGCCGCCCGAAAAAAAAAGACAACCGCAACGTCGGCTCAGGAAAAGGGGGGCGGGCCCGCCGCGCAGCCCGTGGTGATCGCGTTCAACGCGATCACTGGGCGCCCCGAGAACGAACAGGCCACCGTTGCGAAGGGAGAGATGCCAGCAATGTGGTTGCCACTGCCAGTCACGGAGTGGTTGGGCCAGGCAGCCGCCAGGGACATGGGCAAGAAGGAGGCCTGCATGGGGGCGGTGCTGCAGGTGCTACGGGAGGAGCACTTGGCGCTCTGTTCGCGCGTTGAACAGGGCACATAATCGAACCTACCTGTGGCCCTGACCCGCCGCGCAACGAACAACAAAGTGAAAGTGCGCACCAAAGCCGTAGTGGCGGCTGCAAACTCGTGTTGCGGCCGTGCGTGCCGAAGCAGAACAAAGTGTGGGACGCGAGCAGCCACAAAGACAGGGTTCACGTGGGAGTGCGGGCCAATAACCCAGAAGAGCCTGCGAAGACTTCGTTCTACATACATCCAGAGTCTGCCGCGCCCGAAAGCAAGACGCCCTACGATGTGGAGGAGACGGACCCCGCTCAACGAGAGTGGAAGTGGGCGGGCAAGGAGTCCATGCACCCCTTCTGGGGCGTGACG